ATGCATCAGCATTCAGAAGTCTTAATTTAGAAAAGGGACAAAATGTCAGTGTAGTTGTCAACACACGGTGTCTAATAATACCTTCAAAAAATCTTTTTCAATTTATCTGACCCTCCTCGATGGCTTCCCCGTGCAACGTATCAGGAACAAGGAACAGAACCTGGAATGTGGTGTTTCAACCCAGCAGGGACCGAGAGCAAAATAGAAGTACTGGCACTCTTTCTTTTTCTTTTCTTTCTTTTTTTTAGCTCCAAAATAGTCTCTACATAATGAGTGAGTTAGTGGCAGAACTTTTTGGAATTTTTTTTCCTCACTATTTTTTTAAAAAATCCTAAAGCTGTAGGTAAAAAATAAATGTGAACATCACCATGCACAATTACTACAACATTAAAAAAAAAACATCTTTCTAAACATCTCTCCTGTGGTGGAAGCTAACAGTGAAGGCCTCTGCTGCTATATTCTAATGTTGGTCATCATGGTGGTACTCAGAGAGATCAATGTTGGGTAGAAAAAGTTGGAGAAAACACACGTATCAAACTAATTATATTTGGCCCGCGAGATCATATCAAATGTGTACTACAGTTGGCCTGCCAGTAGATAGCCCCTGTATACTGTCAGGTTATGTAGTATTAGCGGTGTATGCGCTATGTTATAGCATATACTTTTTTTTTGGCCTGTGAAAAAAGGAGCTGGAAAGGCTACAGATGAAAAGACATGATAAAAACAAAGATGTATGGTGATAAAAACCAATTTTGCATGGGAACTGGTTGCAGAGCGGAATGGACAAATACGGCGTCACGTGGTGCTATACAAAAGATGAAGTGTACGTTGGATTTTGCTACATTCACTTTCTTTAGTTTGGTTTTCTTTCTGGAACTTTGTGCCCTTCATCATGGCTCTCAGGCGTGAGTCTGATGTTTGTCCTAGCTTATGATATTACCAGCATAGGTGAGCGGCATGGGTACTAATGTATTTGAATTCCCACTCAAAATTGAGTCGAGGACCCCCTCTAGTTATTTCTATACAGTGATTCTCCATGAATTTTTTTTTTTTTTTTTTGAAAGGCTCAAAATGCAACTTTTTTGGACATCAAACTGTTTTGAGCCAATAATTCCTTAATGAAGTGGTTGTCAGTTGATTTTTTTTTTTCAGTC